CTTTCCCCCCGCGGTGTGTGGGTGTCTGTGGCCTGCGGTCGGGTCGTCCTCTCCTCATCGCCGCGCAGAGCTGAGGAGCGAGGGGGAAGGTACGCGGTGCTGGAGGTGGGTGAGGGAGTGCCGGCCGCCCCTCCGGGCCCGCCTCGCTGCGTTCAGCCCCTTTGCGGGGCGCGGCGGGGGCGGGTAACGGCCGCCCGTCAGCGGCCGGCATCGTCCCGCGGGGAGCCGGGAGTCCCCTGAGGAGCCGGGCTTCGTCGTGGCTCGCGGGTTTGCTTTGCGTTCCCGTCAGGAAGAAAAACCGGTCCCGAGGAGGTGGCAGCGGGTGAAATGTGCCCGTTTGCAGTGTGGTGGGACCCCGATGGTGAACCGGGAGGGTGGCTCCTGGCCCTGGTGAAGCAGTCAGTAGCTGGGCAGGCTTTTAGGAGCTGGTTAAGACTTCATCCTCGCTAGGTGTCTGCTCGTGGTTAGTTACAAGCTAATTTGGAAGAGAAATGGCAATTAAGTCGAAAGTGAACAAAACCAGCCGCTTAAACTCGCTTTTATGGGGGAAATACATCTTTAAACGTGCTACGTCTGCAAAAAAAACAGCAAGCCGGCTGTGTGCCTAGAGCCGACTGGTGTGTTAAACAGAAGAAACATTGTCTGTAGTCAATCTGTGGTCCGCTGTTTCCCTCTAAAAATGCTAGAATTGGCTCTCCTGCCTGACACTTGAAGATCGAGCCACTCCTCCCCTCTTTTTGAGCCTGAGTTTTTCAGCGTTGACTGCCATCAGTGCTTGAACTGAACCAGTTGAATATCCTCAGAAGAAGGAAATGTTATTCCTGAAGGGAGTATGTGCAGAAGAGCTTACTCCCATCAAAAGTTAATTTAGTACTAAAGATCAGTCACTAACTTGGTTTCTTTTTTTTTTCTTTTTTTTAATGCAGTCACTGGTTGGGCTTTCTTCAAAACACTAACACCAAACATGTATTTCTCTGTGCGTACCTCATGCTACTTTATTAAGTTACAGTTAGTGTGCACTCTAATGTAGTTTCACATAATTCAAAGTGGAATTCTAAATAGGATTTTAAAGAAAAAACACTTTAATCCATTTTCAGATAGCCATCTTTATCCACCTGAGTGTGATATTTTCTTCTTTGCTGTTTGCAGTTACTGTCACTTTGGCATACATTCAGAGAGGACAATGTCCAACGTGCCAGTGGCTGTGGTGACTGGGTCCAACAAAGGGATCGGATTTGCAATTGTGCGGGCTCTATGCAAGCAGTTCCCGGGGGACGTCTACCTGACAGCCCGAGACCTCGGCCGTGGCCAGGAGGCAGTGGCAAAGCTCCAGGAGGAAGGGCTTCATCCACTCTTCCATCAGCTGGATATTGATGATCTGCAGAGCATCAGAGCTCTCCGTGACTTCCTGAAGGAGAAATATGGAGGGCTGAATGTGCTGGTTAACAATGCAGGGATCGCTTTTAAAGGTAGGAAGCAGACTGGGACAGTCCTATGTGCCACAAAGCTATGTGGCGAATGATAGTAGATGCATAAAGGATTTTACAAAGCTACTTATATGGGACTTCTGTGCCAATGGCATGCTGCTTTTTTGGCTGGGCAAGCTGCCTACATTTTTAAGCATGATGAGAGGGCAATGTGAAATGGCTCTTCCTCTAGCATCTGGTGGGCTAACTGCACATGTAAAGATGCTTCCCTGGAGTATTGTATTTGCATCACATACAGAGCATGAAAATACTTTAGGCACACAGTGCACGTGAGCAGAGTTGGTTTATTGCCTCAGTGCCCATGAGTTTCACCAGGCCGATGGGAGCCCGTCATCTGTGTGAATATCAGCCGTGTTCCCCGGGGATCTGAGTTTTCTCTTGTCTGCAAGCCTCATACTTTGTTCTGTGCATTACCTGCTCAAGGATTCCAGTCGGTAAAAAAGAACCTTTGGCGCTGGGTAATTTTGTCATCTTTACTTATCTTTAACTTTCTCAGGCCTTTCAGTTACTTATAGAACAGTTAACCTAAATCTTGCAGTGCTAAGCAAGAATTTAACCCTTTCATTTTCTAGCGGACAGGAAGGCAGGGAAAGTGAGGAAGACACAGCAGTTGTAAGGTAGAAGAGTGTATTCTCCTCATAGGTGTTTATAAAAACAAGTTGAGAATCATGTTAGCTCCAGATAGAGCAAATCACAGGCATGACTTGTGGTCATTTCCCTGCTGTACAGACTTGTTCTTTCCATATTTTCTGTTTGTTTGTTTTAATCTCTCTGCCTGATCTCCAGTTAGAACATGTAACCCTTCAAGTACAGTGTTGTGCTGACTCATCTGCTCACAGCATGAGTTAAGGAGGCCTGTCAGGTAGTATGGATCAAACTTCACTTGCTGCTGAAGGTGGAGCTTCTCATGTAGTCGAGTGCAGCAATGGTGTTCTGAAGTCCAGTTACTGTATATTTTGCATGGTACTTTGCAGGAAGATTGCTTGTGTTCAAGATCAGCTTAATAGCAGGCAACTCAATACAATTGTCTGAGCTTCAGGATGAGCTCAAAATAGAGAGGTGTTAAAACCTTGCAGCAACAGTTAAAGACTGTATCTCTGTCCATGCTTATCATTTATAAAGCCTGCAGGTGCTCAGACCAATGTTTCTTCAATTCATAATCAGGGCCTTAGCTTGACCTGTTAGTGACAGTGAGTTTGAGCAAGACTGGGCAGAGCCACTGAACAGATAAATAAGTAAAATAGCATGACCAGTGGAGTTCCTGTTATTTCCTTTGCTACATCATAGATTTTTTTTTTTATTATTATTATTCAGAAGTTACTTCCGGATGTTTAGCCTAGATTTTCTTCAAGCTGACAACTTACTATGAGTCAGCAGTAGGTCATACAATTAAGAAATGTGATAGATTAGCCAGTTGTAACTGTATCTAGCACAGAGGTTGGAAGGTTTAACACCTGTAAGAACTTGCTGTGGTGCTTATCTCATATTTTGGCTTTAATTCTTGCTGCTGAGATTGGCATTTCTACCCAAGCTTGCTTCTTGCCTCGCCAGGTTTCTGCTACCATCCCAGAATTTATGCTTTCCTTTCTTTATTGTAGTACTGTGCTGTCTGTCAAAGATTAGATTTACCATTAAATTTTATTTATTGTTCAGTTTTTGTGCTGCACTAAAGGTAGTCCAGCAAAGTCCTTAGTCCAGCAAAAACTGTTCATGTGTGAAATGATTATGTACCTGTGGCTTGCCTTCTAGATGAGCTGCTGTGAGAACAGTCATTCTAGTAATGCTTGTTAAATCAAGAGAGTGTGTATGTATCAGATGTTACAAGTAATACATCTTGCTAGACAAGTAAGCAAAATATGGAAGCAGGAGTTTGGAGTTGTGTAGGTTTTTAGCTTCTTCTGCTGTCATAACTCTTGCAATAGGTTAACTCTTGCAATAGGTCATGGTTTGGCTTCGCGTCTTGCATTTAAATGCAAGTGAGTGATTTGTGAAACTTGATGCCATTGGTGCCTATTGCTTGAGAATATAAATAAGTCAGCCATTAAAACTGTGTTTTGAAATAAAAACACAACTACATTAAATACTAAATGACCTATTACTGCTTCTGAGTTTACATAGGTCTCGGCTATGGAGACAAGTGAAGACCTGCCTAATCTATGTAGGTGGCCTTCATCACTGCAGAGATGGAGTCTGTAGCAGAAGAGGAGGAATTCTGTTCCTTTAACTCTTACTTCCCCCTCAAAGTGGAGGATGCACAGCATATGGCTTATTACTGAGCCACATTGTCAGCTGATGGCACATCCTACCCCACTTTTGATGGTGGCAAGCTGTTAATTACGTCTGATGAAGTCATACCCTTACAGTGCAGTTTCCATGGTCTGCTTATGCTTACCTAAATCAGCTCCCTGTCCTAGCTGCTAATTCCCACTCTTTTGCTTGTGTTAGCACAGACCTGTCAGTTCTGGGGGTGATTTATGACACAAATATTTATCAGTTTGGGGGTTAGTTGGGTTTTTCTTGTTTGTTTGTTTTTGCAGACTGCACCAAGTCTTACCCCTGCAGTCTTTATAGAAGCTTTTACGCTGTTTGTTGCCATTTGGCACTGCTCTAACTTCAAGTCCCAGCTAAGAACCCAAGACATGACAACATAAGAGGCAGGATATAGAAGCGGTCATCTGCCATGTTGTTGGATGTTAGTACCAGGGTGGTAGTCTAACTTTTGTATCTTCAGTGGATCTTCCCCTCTGATTTCCCCTCTGTCCCCTCCCCTCCCTTGGTATGTCAGGATGGTAGCAAAGTGCTGCGCTATGCATTTAAGAGGAGAGGGCACCTCAAAGTTTACTTGCTTGTGGTGGTGGCAGCCCAGACCGAGTACTGGGTGTAAGTAAGTACAGGGAGGTTGGGCAGCACACCCTGTGAGAGCAGTCTTTCCTTGTCTCTTCCATGGAAAGGCGGAAAGACAAATGGCCTGTGGGCTGGCAAATGACTCTGCAGAGTGATACAACTGACTCTCCTGGGACAAATCTAAGAAGAGGTGGAAACGTAATAAGCTCATTATTAATATAATATTGCAGAACTGGATCTTTTCATTAATAAGAATGTGAGTGTTAGTGATGTTGCTTTCCCCCTGTTTCCTAATTATCAAAAAAAAAGAAGGAACTAAGATAAACTTTTGGGTCTTGGTAGTTTGGTAACTTCCTTTCAAACAGTAGTACAATTCTGATTTTTTTTTTTATATATATATATTTTTTTTTTTTTTTCCCCTCCCTTGCTACCACCTCTTATGAAATAAGTTCGTGACACAACTCCATTTGCGGTCCAAGCAGAGGTTACACTGAAGACAAACTTTTTTGGAACCAGGAACGTTTGCACAGAATTGTTGCCTCTTGTGAAGCCTTATGGTAAGTGTAACATAACAAGTAGAGAAATAGTTTTATATGAATTTTGGTCCTCATTAAATGGGACAATCCTGTCCTGTCTCAGAAGCACACTGCCCCATAGCAAGAGGAGTGCACCTTGATGTACCATAGGCAAGAGAACAGATGGCCTTTCACGACACCCAAAATGTCTCTGCTGTGTATGTTTACATCTACTTTCAAGCCGGTCGCATTCTTCTGTTATGGACTGAGGTGGAATTCTCATGGTGCCCTCAAGAAAACATGAAGAACTTATCCATATTCTGTCCATAATATCTGCCTACGTAAATGCTTCAGAAAGGACCTTTTGATGATACAACTAGGATAAGGAAGTACCTAAAAACAGTGTTTCAGCTGAGTTTGATGTGGCATGCCTGTTCTTGCTACTGCTGAAGAAACCTTCTCAACAGGCTGTTGGTCTGTCTCTATCTAGATCCCAGCCTTTGCTGTATTTCCAAGTGTCTAGTGACATAGTCATAAATGGCACTTGAAGATGTACATTAAGTTACTGTGATTTGGTGATGTTAGGAGGGACTGGAAGAAAATGCTTTACCAAAAATGGTAAATAGAATGGACCAGTGTCAAAGAAGATAGATGCATCGATAATATAGAGGTGTTAGTAACATGCAAATAATCTGTACTCATTGGATGACTGTCCTGCACAGAATGCTCCTGTTCTTGAAACCTGGGAGCACTGGAAGTGCCCTAGAATGCTACTGACATATCACAGATGATATGAAAGGAGGGTATTTGGATCCAATACCCACACAAAACCTAAGGTTTTTTTTTAAATACAATTCTTTTCAAGACTTGTGACCACTAGATATTTTCACGGGCATTTGGATAAGTGCTTGCTGCTATGAATGAAATGTTGTCTATACCAATATTTAAATACATCTAGGTTTTTAAGAGAAAAAGAAGTCGAGTAGATGAGAAAGAACTTGGGAACTGTTAGTCTCTAGGGAGGAAGGAAAGGATAGAGTAAATGAATTTGGAGGGCTGGTAGGGGAGAGAGTAAACAGTGCCAAAATTGCAATTTATTCCTCTTGTACTAAGGGTGAAGGTCAAATGTGTTAACAGAGTCATTAACAGATAGGATTAATTTCTGTAGCTTTTAAGATCTGAATCCTCATATTCATTCCCTAGTTCATCACCGGAATGGCTGTGAACTAGCAAGAAAGAGGGAAACAGCGTAACATAATTTTGGGGAAGATGAGTGACTTACTGATTCAGCTGACTTGCTCCTCTGTACTGAAGTGCTGGGAGATAAATAGCTCACTGCAGTTTTGCACGCTGGGATTTGTAAATCTTCGGGTATTCTGTAAACAGCAGATGGCCTTGCTGCATTAAGAACTAGATTGCTGTTGTTGAATTCTGTATTATTCTGGCTTTTGAGGTACATTCTCATGGCACATTACTCAAGCTGTTGCAGAAGTAAGAACATTTTCAGCCAGAATTTGGAGAGTAAAGTCTGGCTACCATTACTGAGAAGGCTTCTTGCTACTATGAATGTGCCTACAGATTGTAACAGGCTATTTGCTGGAAGGATACCTGAAGTTTGATAGAGAGCTTTTGCAGGTTCACACCTTGAATTACCCTCTGTAATGGAATTCCCTAGAAATGCTTGACATTGAGTTAACTTCGATCTTCCAGAAGCTCTGCAAAATAGCCCACACAAAATATTTTACAGGTGTTCACCTAAGTAGTGAATATATAACTGTAGAGCAAGTCCACTTCCATGTCTGGGCTTGTTTAATGTATGTAAAAGTAATGAGTCTTTATTCTCTTTTACCAGGTAGAGTGGTGAATGTCTCTAGTATGGTAAGTAGCTCAGCTCTGGGAGGCTGCAGCCGAGAACTACAGGAAAAGTTTCGCAGTGACACAATCACTGAGGATGAGTTAGTGGAACTCATGACCAAATTTGTGGAAGATACCAAGAAAAGTGTGCATGAGAAAGAGGGTTGGCCAAATACTGCCTATGGGGTATCCAAAATTGGTGTCACAGTCTTGTCCAGGATTCAAGCCCGGATGTTAAATGAGAAGAGAAAAGGTGACCACATCCTTCTCAATGCCTGCTGTCCTGGATGGGTAAGAACAGACATGGCAGGTCCTAAAGCCACTAAATCGCCAGATGAAGGGGCTGAGACCCCAGTTTATTTGGCCCTTTTGCCTTCTGATGCTGATGGTCCTCATGGCCAGTTTCTGAGTAACAAAACTGTTCGAACCTGGTGAGCTTTATGTATGTGGTAATATGACTGTGGATTAGCCAGTGCCCTGGTAGGGCATTTACCCAGAGCAGTCTCATCCTGTCCACAGCAGCAGCAGGGTCCTTTATCATTACAATGAGGGTTACAGTTAAGGTAGTCCTCTGGGATTAAGTCTACACTAGGGCACACTTCCCAACAGTCTCCATTAGCCTCCTCACAGCATTGACTGTGTAGCCCAAAATCTGATTTGTGGGTGTTCCAGCCTAGATGATACAGGCTAATTTGGTGTTGCCCTAATGTAGAGGTGCCTGACCTTGTTTACCTGAATTTACTCTTAATTAAATCATTGCCAGCCCTTCTCCCACTCCCCCAAGACAGATCTTGGACATGGAGTTGGGATGAGGAAGCAGATGCCTTATGCTTTCCCAGCACAATAGATCTTCCTAGGGACCATAGTTGCTTCTTGAGGTTGTGCAGGGTTTCTTAAAGGGGGAGGGGGTTGTTCTGAGATCTAAGGTCTGACCAGTTTGAGGGGAGGCTAATAAGACCAGAAGAGAATCACTGCTGTATAGAGATTCCTTATTATCAGTACAAAGTGGAATTGGGTGAAAATAAAAATAGCAGTGACATACCATTAACAGAACTTAATCAGTTGGCTTTATTAATATGTATGTCAATAAATGATTACTTACTGATTGGTATTCATCCAACTGGCTTATTCTGATACTAAAAATTTATGTTTGAAAATACACTTTCATTTTCTGCAGCTAAGTTTGTAGCTGGAATGTGTGATGTTTGGACTATGTAAAGAGAAAATAAACTACAGAACTGATACAGGAAACTATTCCTCGGTACTTCCAGTTCATTTATTGCACAGCCAGGAGTTTCCTTATTAAAAACCTGAATTAAGTGCTCTCCGTGTAGTAGAGAAAATGAACTGTAAATGTTACAATACTATTACAGGATAGGACTGAAATACATAGTTATCATGGTAACCCAACAAGTTATCCAAGCAAAATCACAAGTAGAGGAAGCACTGACATGGAGAGCACCAAATTTGTTTTCTCATTTTAAATGTTGGTTATTGCATTTCAAGGGCTTCATCTTGAAAGGTTGCTGTGGCACTTCAAGCTGTGGAGCTGGAGCCATGTGGTGGCAGAGGCAGCCTAGGGGTAGGGCAGGGCAGCTGGCGGCAGGGGGCTGGAGCGAGGTGGGGTTTGGTCAGGGGCCCTGCCCCGTCTTCCCTGCAGGGCAAGGTGAGCACAGCCATGTGCTCTCTAGGGGGAGGCTGCTGCCCTCTTCCTCGTGCTGTGAGAAGCTGAAGGAGCTGGAAACAATTGCCTATAAACCTGTCGTTAGTAATGACAAATCAGCAAGGCACATGTTAATTCTTAATCAGCAGTCAGCAAGACAATGCTAAAGTGGCTTAGCCAACTGGGTTTTACATTGGCTTCCCCTGGTACAGTTTGTGTTCAGGGAAGCCTTGGATCAAAAGGCGTTGGACATAAATAATATGTGTGGTTTTGGTAATCACTTATCAGCACAGAACAAAGGTGTGATTATTAGTTGGTCTTTTAAGGATAGAGTAGCTATTGTTTTTATGAAGATGGAAGAATTGCCAAATGAGTCATGCCCCAGAGCTCATTGAAGAGCAGGATGAGTGCTGCCCCAAAACTTATCATATTAATCTATTCTCAATGAAGAAAAAAATCTGAGGCCTGTAGTTTCAGGGCAACAGATCAGTTACAAAACCCCTGTATAAAGTTTTTAATGCATTTTATGTACTACCAACAGACTGGCTACAGTACGATAGCTCTAAAAGCCATCCGCTTAATACAGTAACTTGACTATGATTCTGATGTGCAACAGAAAGAACCACTGTTTGTGTATGCTCTTCTAGTCATGTTAATGGTATCTCAGCAAACTAAAACATGGCTGTTCTGATTCAGTAATAATTTTGTGCAAAACATTAAGAGATGTAATCCAACAGTGGAGAATCATACTTAGTTCTTCATACTTGAAATGCTGCTTGAGTCATTAAGTTTCAAAAGTTGCGTGCCCTTCTGGTTGGCTTGTACAAACTTTTCAAACAAACCTTGACCCAGCTTTCTTAGGGTTTGTGCAAAGACCAGACTGTAAGAGTCCTAGGTCCATTTACCGTAACTGGATAGTATCCATTGTTAAATACAAACTAATTTCTAAGTATCCCCTATGCTCTATAAAGCTCCTTCTTAAGTCTAACTCAGGATCTGCGTTTTTTTTTTTACTTTCAAGCCAAACAAATGATGTTTGAAAGTTTTACAAAAGATGTATTTCTAATTCTTACATTAAGCCCTTTCACAGTGCTTGTTCTTTGTTAAACCTACTTACCCTGTTTCAAGGTAAGGAAGCAAAGTGGAGGATGATGGCTAAATAGTCATCTTCAGAAATGTCATTTCTCATGGTGAAATTGATTGTAATACAGACAGTTTCTTCTGGTATGAACAGAAAGAACAGAGGACAGATCTTTTCACAACCTTCGCAGCTGTGGTGTGGTATTCGAGGAAGGAAAATCAGCTGTGTGGATACAACCTCAGCTGTAGGAGGTGGAAACAAGAGGCAGAAAATATTGGCTGTTTGCAGGACCAGTTGGAGTCAGGAAGGAGCTTATGCAGGAGAAGCGCATCCTCTGGTGACACTGCAGGAGGACGGTGTCCTGGGACGGAGCTGGGACCGCGCGGGGCAGACTGCCAGGGGAGGGCTGTTTGCTGCGAGCAGGATCAGAGGACAGGCTGTACAGCATGTGTGGCAGGCTGATCTTTGGACAGGGCTTGCATTGTTTTAACCAAAATTTCTTTTTTTTTTTTTTAAGCTGCCTCTCTGCTTCTCTCCCATGTCCGTTGTGTCTGAAGTATTTTGTTACTTTCAGATTCTGGTGTACTTGCTGAGCGGTTATTGTGTAAAGTTTAAGGGTTAGGAAAGGGATGAAGTAATAATGACTTGTTGTACTGTATGAAACTTTTACATGTGATTTACTGTTTTTCTTTTTACAACATGTCACTACTATTTTTACTTTGGAATTTATTAGCCAAAGAAAATGCCTGGCAGGGCGGTAGCTGTGGTGGCATGGGACAATAAAGGAATTGTGCAGGATGCAGTCAGGCAGCAGTGGCAAAGCTTTGGGCGTGGAAGCTGTGCCTGCTGCCACATCAGCTGGATATAAACAGTGTGTGAGGCCTCTGGGACTTTCTGAAGGAGAAGCTACAGACATCCCAGTGTGCTGGTTGACAATGCAGCCATCATTTTCAAAGGCTGTAGTAGGCCGGCTGTTGGGCAGAGCTTTGCTTTGGAAAGCCAGTGATCTGAAGGTATGGGGGCAATCAGTAAGGAGACTGGTTTGCTCTAAACCTCTTTGAATCTAAAGGGGATTACAATCAGGTCATTTCTACCTGGATCCCCTGCAGTGCTGGTAACTATAGTGTGGGCCAGACTTTTGTATCCGTTGTGGTTCCAATGCTGTTTTCTCCAGTGCTTTTGTTTTCAAAACTGCAGCGCAGATATGCTTAGAAAGTTTGAGGTCAGTTTACCTAAAAACATGAAGCAAATATACCTAGCTTAACATGTTGTTTCCCTAAATTTTCCATTTAAGTGTTTTCCTATATAAATAATGAAGATGACAAGAACTCTTGAGAATTCATTTATGTCCGTAAATAATTTTAATTGAACCCATCTCTTACAGTAGTATAACCCAACCTGTAGGCAGTGTCCTGACTTTGAATGCTGTGGCGTTCCTCTCAGCCTAAAAATGTGTCAAGAAAATGTAGATTTTATATGCTGCCCAGTATTACTTAAAACACTTAAATGCAGAATTATAATTCAAACTCCGGTCTCATGTTAGTATAGGAATGCTTTTAGCTTTTTAATCTCAAATAATGAAGAAAGAGAAGGAACCATAATGATGTTTTACAATGGAAATTCTTCAGTTTTCATTTTTGTTCTGCAAAGACTTCATTTTGGTACTGGACAAAGTTCTGGTCTTGGGGGCCAGTTTTCATCATCTATAGACCTCTTCGCAAGGTTAGCTATTCATAGGACTTACATCTGAATGAACAACACCCAATTTCACGCTTCCCAGTTTGGATTGTTGTCTTGTCTTTGGACCCTGCTCACTGATCTAGGGTTGCAGTTACTCAGCACTCTTAAAAACCTACCCTGTCTCTCTTCGGGTACATCCCCACATACTCAGACACCGTGATCTGATGGGCATTGTCTGTTTTGTTTGGTTGGAGTTATACAGTATTTAGAGGACATATGGCAGTAGTGGCTCTGTTGGTGTTTTATTTGTGAATGTATTGTTTTAGATTCTGCTAGGGAGGTGAAATACTGAAAGCAAGCACTTGTTCAACTTCCCTTGGTAAATAATAGAAATGCTATGTAGTTTTGTGGTAGAAATTTCATATTTTAAATTGCGAGGGATATTTCTAAAAATAAATAAATAACTGACAAGTGATATACGATTGGAGTAGACTTTTCCAGTACGAACCAAACGGATTTATGTCAATGTCACGTGGAAGTTAACGTGAAAGTTCATTAGATTGAAATGCAGTCTGGGTGTCTCCGGAAGTGGTTACATCAGTAAATCTATTCCTTGATTCCATCCCAAGGGCCAGGATTTAGCATGGGCAGTGCTGCCATGGTGCATATAACAAACTGATCTATAGCCTTTTCCTGAAAAGAAGTCTCGAATAGTTAGTATGGTAGGCATGCTTTGAATTAGCATAACCTCTGATACAAAAAACAGCATTCGGAGTTACTTTTCAAATGGTTGACCAACCAGCAGATTTGTAAGCACAAGAGCAGAGGCAGTGGATTGGTCTGGAGGTTGGTCGGTTTTGGTGCATGTTCTGATCAAAGCTTCCCAGCAGGCTGAGGACTTTGGTGGCTTCTCCATCAGGAGACGCTCTGGTGCCCGCCGGCAGCTGACCCGACCCCGCAGCCCTTTCCTCAGCAGCAGCCTGGGAGCATCTCTCCTCCACCTGACTGCCTGGTTCTCTGAAATTG